ATATATATATATATATATATATATATATATATATATATATATATATATATATATATATATACATATATATATACATACACTTACACACACACACAGGGAGATTTACACACACACGGACATACGCAAAACATACACATACACACACAGTCATTCACACACACGGCCATACGCATATACCTTCGCCAGGATAGTGAACAGGAAGAATATTTGTACATGCACACACACACATAGACATACGTATATACCTTAGCCAGGATAGTAAATAGGAAGAAAATGTGTGCGATAAGATTGACCCAACGCGTCTCACGGCTCCTCACAACATGCGTGTGATATACACCGTTCTTCTCATACTCCTCCGTATCGGCCAGTAAGCGTGGGTGGATCACTGAGTGGGGCAAAGCACCTGCAGAGATACGAGAGAGATATGCTGTCAGTGGGCAGACAGAGTATGTTCAAATGACTAACTTGCTCTCAAGGGTTAACTATTTAGATGTGCATAGCAAATACAATATGTTTTTATGAGTGTATGAATATGCAGAAGAAGTCTCTGTGTATGTATGGGCCGGTAGGCGAGGGCGGGGAAGAGTAAAGATGTTCATAAGCATGTAAGTACGTACAATTGATTTTTCTACATAGACTGGTAAGCGTGGATGAATCACGAGTGCGAGAAAACAATCTACCAAGGATATGGCAAAACAAAATTGTATACACGTTTACATAACAAGAACTGGAAAGGATCTTATTGTAAGGATTCCCAATACAACCTGTGCAACAATAGATACTCGTTAGCATATTAATATATGAAACTGCTCTCCGTATATCGGTTCTGCAGCAAGCGTGGGCAAAACATAGAGTGCGAGAAAGCGCCTGGAGGTACCAAGGGTACTTGCAGTCAATAAGCTTTTTAACTAAGAATTGACCACGTTCTGAAAATTGAAGTGAACAATACAGGACATAAAAAGTATTAATAAACGACACGGAGGTATCCCATTTTACCTACTATGGCCCTATGGTATTCTTAGTACAGAGCATACAGCCAATAGCAGTTCATGAAGCATACACCACATACTGATTAATTCAGCCAGGCAGCAAATGATATATATAGAACAACCCCGACTTAAAACCTCTACACTCAATACATTGCCGGGATAGTGTAACATTCTACCTACCATGACACCATAGCATTCCTAGCACAGAGCTTACAGCCAATAGCAATTCATGAAGTATACACTACATACTGACCAATTCAGCAAGACAGCAATGATATATATAGAACAACCCCGACATAAAACCTCTACACTCAATACATGTCAGGGATAGTATAACTTTCTACCTACCATGACACCATGGCATGCCTAGCACAGAGCTTACAGCCAACAACATGCCGGTGAGTACCATGTCCCAATGGAAAGCATCGCCCTGGTGGTGTCAAGGTATGACGATTTGACATTAGCTTAGAAAGGTATGTAGTGGCTTCGTATATACACCCGTGGGAACTTGGATTCGGATTTTTTCGTCCAATACCCGAATAGTCCGGTGAGCACTATTGCCCTGTTGAAGGTGTCTACTTGGTTATGCCGATGTGAAACGAATAGGAATAAGCAGTCAAAGACAATAGGAGCATCGTATATAAGATTACAGGAATGCATACACGTATAGAATATTGCGAAAACAGACACAGACACAGACACAGACACAGACATATATATATATATAAATATATCTCCACACATACATATACATATATACACAAATGTCCGTAGGGTAAGACAAGTAGACCATACCTTCATGAGGCGGTTCTCTGGGCTGCCAATGAGAAGGGCAGATACATTCTGTTCCAAGTACACAATCATTGTCAACGGTACAGCCGCCAAAGCAGCTAACATCACCCACTTGATCTCCAGTGTGTAGAAATCAACCCACCACGGACGACCACTGGTAGTGTCAATGGCTGCGAGAACCACACATAGTATGTGTCAGGGTAAGTGCCAGAGAACGAGTGTGATTCACATGTACAGCACATACACACACTCTCTCTCTTCTCTTTCTAGTATATACACAAAGACACATACACATACACATATATAAATATAAATATAAATATCTACATATATATAGATATAGATATAGATATATATATATATTATATATATATATATCAGCCAAATCTCAGCATCCAAGCGCGTGATTTGCGAGAGCGCAGAAATGTAACAGAAGACTATCATCTACACACACACACACACACACACACATGTACACACACATGTACACGCACTACCCTGTATACATACAGTACAGAAACACACCTATACCAGCCAACACCTCGGCAAGTGACGGGATATAGAAGAAACCTATCGTCTGCACACACACACACACACTACCCTATCTATATACATACACTACAACTAAATATACCTACTATTACATCGATAGTAGATACATAGGAAATACGCACCTATAATAGCCGACACTTTAGCATCCAGGCATGCAACATGGGGGAGCGATGTACGAGAAGCCTAATATCTGCACGCACACACACACTACCCTATACACACACAATACAGGTACACACTATACCTTATATGCATACACTACAAACAAACACACCTACTTATACATCGATTGTAGATACATAGGAGATACGCACCTATATCAGCCGACACCTCGGCGTCCAGGCGTGCAACATGGGGGAGCGCGGGGATGTACGAGAAGCCAGTCATCATCACAAACGCAAGGAGTGGGCCGAACATGTACAGGACATATCTGGAAAGAACAGACAAGATATAAGCATAATGATTACTACCAAGACTGTACTTGAGATAATGACTACTACCAAGACTGCACTTGAGATAATGATTACTACCAAGACTGTACTTGAGATAATGACTACTACCAAGACTGCACTTGAGATAATGATTACTATTAAGACTGTTCTTGAGATAATGATTACTACCAAGACTGCACTTGAGATAATGATTACTACCAAGACTGAACCTGAGATGAGACATAAAGCAAAACCCTAAAACCCTAAGCGCAAAAGTACAGATAAAGACTGTACCTGAGACATGCAAAACTCTAAACCCTAAAACGCTTTGCATGAAGATTGCGTACCTGAGCACAGGCCTGAGATAAGGGCTGCCATAGAACGAGGTGAAGTACATGGCGATCAACCACACGCCCACTACCAGAGTAAGCGACAGCAGGAAGTCTTCTGTGTGACTATTGGCGTCTGTATGTAGAGGGAAAGGATACGGCCAAGACGTGTAAGGGTGTAATGTATAGGAATCCTGGACAGCTTCAGCCACGGCAACAAGTCAGTGTATATAAGACTCTCCGATGACATGCATAGCAGCCTCCGCAATGAAGAACCCCGAGATCAAATGACAAAAGATTCCTCCGTACGTCACTGGGTAACACACACAAAGTGCGACAAACTGTACACACACATGCAGATAAAACAACACATTCAGACATTCAAACATTCAAACATTCACACACACACACATATATATATATATATATATATATACATACAGATATATACTATACATATATATATATTATACATATCTATATATTTTATACATATTCATACACACACATGTATATATATACATATACATACACACACATGTATATATATATATATATATATATATCATCATCATCAATGGACACACCTGCAGCATCCACGGTGAGCGTTGACTCCGTAACGATGTGTGTGATAGCCTTGGCTATGAAAATACACGAAATTAGCATCGCAAAGGCTTCCTCCGTGAATCTCCCGATGAACACGACAAAGTATGACATGTTTACTACACCGATGATCATGCAGTACAAACACGCCCAGATACCCACCCACGCATAGAATTCCAAGAACGGGATGTCTAGGGTCACACTCCAACTGTGATGTTTGATGTTTTTTATATTAGTTATGAAGGTGCATACACATACATATATATAAATTTATATATATATATATATATATATATATATATAATAAATAAATATATAAATACATATAAATACATATATATATAGTTCCGTCTTAGCTTTGTAGTGTGTAGTGTTGTATGAACTTGATGGTGATGTATGTATAGATAGGTGAGCTAGGAATGTATTACATTGTATTGTTTGATACTGCAATGTCCACATTTGTCCATATTCCACCCATGCATAGAACACTAGTAATGGGGTGTCCTGTTTCACAGTTTGGCTGCAATGCATGATATTGTGATTGAACAAATATTGACAAGGACTATGATGCAGAAACGAACTATATATGTATACAAAAATAGGTATGTATACATATATATATATATATACGGCAGGCAAATACGCAATACCAATACACTAATATACACATATACATAACATAAATGACATCAATAAATGTATACATGTGTGCACAAATATATAACAGTTATGAGACTGCAGAATTGATATTGAAAACACAGGTGATTCATTGCAACAACGCAAAGCACACTGTAAACACACACACACACACATATATATATATATATATATATACGCGCGTATATACATATCTATATCTGCTGATGACGCCGATATCTTTCTACGCATACTCCGGTGTGTGCACCTTGATACATATACACGACAGACTAATTCATCACCAGACACTAATACCTAAAGATGACACCTCCGAAGATGGCTATGGGACCGGAAGCACGAAGTACGAGAAGAGGTTGCCCGCCAAAGATAGAGAATATAATACCACAGATGGCCTCTGAGAGTAGAACCTCAGTCACACCTGAAGGCGTGAGGGCGGAAAGAAGTATATTTAAATTATCGGATGACAGTTTGTTTGTTGTTGGTGTTTATGTCTGTGAAAGAGGTATATTTAAATTAACGGTTGAAAGTTTGTTTGTTGTTGGTGTTTTATGTCTGTGAAAGAAGCATATTGGAATTAACGTTTAACAGTGTGATTGTTGTTGGTGTTTATGTCCGAGAAGCCTATTTAAATTTACGATTAAAAGTCTGATTGTTTTTTTTGGGTGTTTGTTTGTGAAAGAAGCCTATTTAAACTGACGCTTAACAGCGCGATTGTTGTTGGAATTAGGTCTAAGAAGGGGCTCGAAACGTACTTCGTAGACGCATGTACTACTCGCAATGGGGTGGCCGTATGGGTGAGAACAGACAGAAGTAGCTGAAGTGAAAGTTCTATTTATAGATACACGTGGATACTCTATTTTAGGTTGTAGGTAAATGTCTCTGAATTTGGCCTAATGCAGGATGCCATGCTAGCCAGAGAACGGAAGTACGTATTCCTGATTATAGGGTGCTTCACCTGTTGCCATATGTAGTGAAAATATATGGGGCTTGCCTATACATGTACATCCGTAATGTCACTGTACGACGTTATAGCAGAAGATTTGAAACAAATGAAAGGGTGAAAGTGGTATTTGGTTGGCTCACATCTCTCCATACAGGACAGAACAAATGGCACTTCACAAGTATACCTTTATATATACTAAACGGAAACATACATCTACATATCCTATGATCAGTATATATGAGTATATATATATATATACGTACCGATAGGTGCCTGGTTGGATGCCGGCTGGCAATGTGTGGGGTCGTCAATGTCGCAGATCTCTGGCGCAGTCATGCTATTCCACAGAGCACCAAAGGCAATGCACGGCACTACACATGCAAAGTACAGTGAGATGACACCCACCAGATACACACGCACCGACGCCCAGTCCACCGGGTGTATGCCATCCAGGAAGTCTGATTTGTACCACTTCCACCTGTGTGTGATTGGGTGGAGTGTTAGGGTGTATGTTTCGTCAGATAGTTTGAGTGTGACGTGTCAAATTTGAACCAATTCGATTGTGTGTGAGCATGGATATGGCAAAATAAACGCTATTCAACGTGTCTTATTTGAACTACTTCCAACTATGCATGATAGGGCGTCGCGGCGTATATATTTGAGTATTACGAGTCTGATCTAAATTACTTCAAAAGCGTGTGTGCACTACTATGTTGAGGAAACCGCCAATCAAGCCGTATAATTGCATGGGGTCGTATGTGTGTACACACAGTTTTTATCATTAAATATATATATATATATATAAAGATACTATTGATTTATATATGACACGGGAGTGGTCCAGCGTGGGCAATGACCACAAATAAAGCGAAGTACTGTCATTGCACAAAAGATATATAAGGACACGCTCACAGACGCCCGGACTACGAGATATATGACATCCAGGAAGTCTAATTTGTACCAATTCCACACGTGTGGTCGTGGCGATGTGTTAAAATATATTTTTACGACGTGTCTGATATTGTCTGATTGTGTTTGTATTGATTCCACCTGATTTATACATGTGGGAGTATTAGGATAAACTAAGTATAAAACGTCTAATTTGTACATTTCCGACCTGCGTGTTAGCTACATAGCATTGAAACACACATCCCACATCCCAAATCCCATATATATATATATATATATATATATAAATGTGTGTGTGTGTGTGCGTGTGTGTGTATTAATATATAGGTATAAATATACCTTCGCTTGAGATCGCCCGTAATACCCCCGAGTATGCGTCCACCCCCTCTAAGCCCTCTGAACATATCACTTTCCTCCTCATCAGCAGTGTTCTCTTCCACATGACTCGCAATCTGTTCCCGTGTCGACACTTCAGACCGCACGAATTTGAGCGCTGCGAATTGCAGAAGTTCCTGCAAGCGTGTACCAATGCACACGGGTATGCTGACCTACACACGTGCCTAAGCGTCTTTCTGATAGTATGTATGTATACAATTGCCTGTGCATGTCGACTAAATTGCGTTCACCAACACTAACCCAGTTTCCAAATGCGAGAGTATAAATAGAACACATACATATGGTCTAGGCAAAGACACTGGTTCAGAGAGTGTACAGACCTTCAGATATACGCTCCTGATGGGCTATACATCGTTTCCATTGGAGACGATAGGGCATATACAGACGCTCTAAGCGAATTACTCTCCTATAAACATACACCATATTGGACGTACGTCATGCCCCTTAGTACGAACTTAATAAAATACAAACCAAAACTCTAAGGAAGCACGTGGCAAAGTACTATCGAAGTGTCGAAATGAATGTCACTGTCAAAACATAGCGCATCCTCCACCTACAAACATACACCATAGTTAACATGCGTCATTCCACTTAATACCAACCCAATAAACTACCAAACAAAACTCTTAAGGGAGCATATGGCAAAGTACTATCGAAGTGTCGAGATGAATGTCACTGTCAAAACATAGCGCATCCTCCACCTACAAACATACACCATAGTTAACATGCGTCATTCCACTTAATACCAACCCAATAAAATACCAAACAAAACTCTTAAGGAAGCACATGGCAAAGTACTATCGAAGTGTCGAGATGAATGTCACTGTCAAAACATAGCACATCCTCCACCTACAAACATACACCATAGTTAACATGCGTCATTCCACTTAATACCAACCCAATAAAATACCAAACAAAACTCTTAAGGGAGCACATGGCAAAGTACTATCGAAGTGTCGAGGTGAATATCACTGTCAAAACATACCGATCTGTCGGCCTTGGTTGCCTCCGTCATGAAGTCTAAGGGGAATATGCAAGGACAAACCCAGTATTAGAAACTGTAATCATATACTATATAAACTTTTATCCTCTCAAGAGGGACATACAGAATCAGGTACACACGGTGATACAAATACACCTATTCTACCTACCAACAATCACTAAGCATGATCACTAGGCATGTGTACCACGACGAAACACAGCAGTCCGAGACAGTACTAATATTGGCGTGCATAGGGACACTTGGATACCTACGTACCCGAGGCATATATACTGAAAGCAAAGGTCGATCATCATCAACCTGGACGTGGTTTGTAGTCAATTATGCTATAAACAGGGCTGATGCTAGGTACATATCTTAGGCTCGTTGGTGAGTGTGGCACGACTTTCGGCCCTATGATTTTTTTTCTTTTCGGTTTGGTATCGGCCCGATTCGAGTACCAAAGCACACCAAAACGTTAACCTCACACTCACACCTTAGACCGTAGATGTAGGCTGCACTGACAACATGCACTACAGACACGCCACCCTAACCATCCCTTATACATGTACTACTGACGAATCGCACAGATATCAATTGATGCTACCTACCATGATCGGCAAAAAGTGTTGCAAAGGTGTGCCCCGTTTCTTGGACATTTTTGGTCCTTTTTGATCCGGGAGGTGCAAGTATAAGGCCCACAAACTTGGTTTTCGACCCATCCCACGAACCCAGATTAAGGGGTGTACGCAATCGGGCAATGACGACGTGTCGTGTCTTCATCTCACTCACCTATACCGTGTGATTTGTGCGTTGAGTTGAGTTGGGTTGCGGGTTGGTTCAGATCATTAAGCCGGAGATAGGTGGGTACATAGGTGGGTATATGCGAAGGTATAGAGTCGTGAAGGTAAAAAAACCGCACTGAAATATACCGTATAGCTTGCGAGTTGAGTTGATTGGGTTGGGTTAGTTCAGATCATTGAGCCGGAGATAGGTGGGTACATAGGTAGGTATATGTGTAGGTATAGAGTCGTGAAGGTTCAAAACACACTCAAATATACCGTGTGGTTTGCGAGAAGGTAGGTACATTTGTCACACATCATGCATGTAGCTACAAATGTAGTCTAGATGATAGGAATATTTAAGCGATACCGAGGTAGGTATGATAGTTCGGCATGTATTTAGTAGATACATAAATAGTTTTAGTATGGGTTTGCAGGCGACCAGTGTCTATTTAGCATTTATATGCAGACGATATAAAATAGGCAGATCAGTTGGTGGGCCAGGAAAGTACAGATTACACATATACCTAAATAGAATATATAGGTTTTACATGAATAGAATAGATAAATTGTACACAAATAGAATAGATGGATTATATCTAAATAGAATATATAGATTTTTATATAAATAGAGCATATAGGTCATATATATACATAATGTTTAGATCATACATGAGAAAAAACACATAGATATTACATAAAAGAATAGATGAATTGTATACAAATAGAATATATATTTATATATTAATAGAATATTTAGATCAAACAGAAAGAAAATATATAGAATATACATGAATGGTTATGTAGATTCATAAAAAGGTAGGTACACTTCTTGTCCATGTGAAAACACTTTAGAGAATACGTGATGATTTTGATACACCTAACACTACGGCGCTACTGACCATGGGCCAAATTTTATTTGGATCGTGTACACCAGATAAACACAAACTATACTTGCATCTTTCACAGTATACATGTATATATATATTTAAATATATATATATGTATATATATATATATATATATATATATATATATATATATATATATATATATAGTTATATATATATATAGGTATATATATACATACATATATATACTATAATATATATATATATATATATATATATATACAATTGTATACACACTCAGGCTTTCTATACGATACCAATGCATACCTCTGCAAGTGCCAGGATGAACCCAGTGCCTTGGATACTGCGACGCCACTGCTGCAACGGGCCGTGCTCGTTTTGTACCTCCGACAACAACGTCTCCATTATCTCTGGAATCATATCTTCCTGCGATCAAGTACACACACGGGCACACGGATTTCGTAGGTAAGTAGCCATGTATGTGTTTATGCGACAGAGTGCGTGCATTGTATAAGCGCATACGTGCGTGTGTAGTGTGTATGTAATCATATTCTCCTACAAGACACACATTTCGTAGGTGAGTAATCGTGTATGTGTTCACACGCACGGATCAGTGTGACGAGTATGTGCGTGCGTGAGTAACCAAAGTGGAATACATTATACAGAAAACAAATCCCGAATTAGAAGTTCTTAGCCAATCAATCCCTTTATATATAACGATATAGAAATGTATGATATAATGTGGTCGTTCCGAACCTCCGACACCAACAACACCTATACGTTTGAAATAGATTCGCCTTGAGGAAAAGCATATACACCTTCACATGAAATCTGATAGCAACTAACAGCTTACGTGTAAACGCATATTGCTACCCTGCATATGTTTGTTCTGAGTTCAGAAGTATAAGGTGTTAATAAATGTGTATGAGTGGTCAATAGGTAAATATGTCCTTCTTGTAATGAGGCCTACAGGATCTCCGGAATCATATCTCTTTGTAACCTAAATCCAAAAAAATAGTCCATAAGCTTGGAAGGTATGAGTATATATATATATATGTTTATGCACATACACTCTCCCTGTGCGCACACATACGTATAAATGTAAAGTCACATACTTCCAGTTCATCCCTTTCGACTACAGTGCGAAGCAGATGCTCTGTGATGCCCTCGGCTGTCTGTGATGTTATGTCGAGCATCACCACTGTGGTATCGGCCACGGTTGCAAACATGATCAGGTCTTTATGTGCTCTGTAAAGCACAATGGAATAAGAACTTTGTCAGGACAAACATCAGGACATAATTTAAAAAATTATTAGGAATTGTATCAGGAAATATATCAACAACAAAAATATCAGAAAATATATCAGGAAATATATCAGATAATGGTTAGAAACTCGGGTGATAATGAGCTATACTAAGAACAAATTTGGTACATGCGCAGATGGAATGATAAGATATCAGGCGACTCATAGCATATGTTCGTCACAATATTGGCAAACGCACCAAAGAATTTATAAGAAGCAAGTAGGCAATTCACGAAACACAGTTTTGCTTGGAATTACATACCTAATTCGATATACAATCCGACTCATTGGATGGGCTATGTTTACTTATATTTGAAAACAAAACACAGCTCTGCGACGATAAAACACTTCCACTACGGATACCGGTCAAATAGGAACCGAACTTTGCGCTCGATCTGGTCTAATAAAATAGAACACCAAAGATGCAACCCACCCAACAAACTCATGGCAGGGGTCGATACTTTGCCTGCTACTGCAGACAAGAGACCAGCATGTAGTACGTGTGCACCAATGCCTACCACTGCATCACCTGTAGTGCACTACTGCTGTTCGTTCACATCGATACGATTGCGTACTAAGTACCTAACATGCCACATGATATCAAGTGTATACGTAGTCAAATATCGACTACATACATATACATATACATTTATAATATATATATATGTATGTGTGTGTGTGTGTGTATGTAAATGTATATATATATATATATATATACGTATGTATGTATGTATGTATGGATATATGGATATATATATATAAATTATATATTTCTCTCTTTATATATTCAAACATACATACATACATACATACATTCATACATGCGTGTATGAATGCGTATAGATATTACATATAATTATATATATATACATACATATATATATATATATGAACACGTACGTTAGCATAGACGTACGTATACACTACCTGAGTTCCTCAGCCACATCCTTAGGCAGCAGTGGTGCGGCAGTGATCTGAGTCATTTGCACATTGCCCTTCTTGATCTTTTTGACGATTTCGGGTACAGTCGGTGTGTCCTGTTTACACCAATATCAATTTAATCAGCATCTTTGTTTACAATCTATACATACTTACATATATATATATATGTATATAAAAGAATACACAATATATATATATGGAATAGACCTTTCCACTGAACTCCACTTGATGCAGATCATCTACCCTCTGAGGCATGTTCGTCGCCATTTGTACACCAATCATGATTGGCATCGCAAATCACATTCCAACTACAATCTGGTACACCACGACTTATTTTGACACCTTCAACTGACTTGCTTGGACGCCATTTGGTAAATACTACCTACAACCATACAAATGTTAGAAATCGTGTGCGCGTTGTTCCTACCTGCAATGCCCTGATTTTCTCTCCAAGATCCTGCAGATCATATTTGTTTATAGTCCGTTGGAAGGCGTCGTCAACACCCGAATCTGTGGCTGAGGTGGCCTGTCCAGCGGATAGGGGCACCTCTGTGAGGATGTGAGTACGTATTGGCAAGGATATGTGAGATCATGAGTACGTATTGGCAAGAATATGTGAGATCATGAGTACGTATTGGCAAGAATATGTGAGATCATGAGTACTTATTGGTAAGTATATGTGAGAGCATGGGTACGCATTGGAAAGAATATGTGAGATTATTAGTACGTATTGGTTTGTATATGTGAGAGCATAAATACGTAGTGGTAAGTGTATGTGAGCGCATGAGCACGTATTGGTGAGTATATGTGCGAGCATGAGTACGCATTGGTAAGAATATGTACAAGCACGAGTACGTATTGGTGATTATATGTGAAGTACATAATGAGTACGTGTTGGTACGTACTTAAGTGAGTAGAAGTACGTTTTGACGTGCATATATGCAATTTTGGATTTATTCTAGTGAGTATTTGTCAATGGTCCGTTGGAAGACGTTTTTTTCTTTTCGCGTCAGTGGTGGAGAAACCCTGCCCAGCGAATACGAATAGCTCTGTGAGTGCATGAGTGGGTGTTGGTGGCTATGATTGAGAGTGAGTACGTATTGGTAGTTATGTGAGTTTGTGAGCGCGTTTCGGTGAGTATATGCAAGAGTATGTCAGCGTTTTGATAAGCATCAGGGTAAACATACGTATCTATATATATATATACGTATATGCCAATCTGGGTTGAACCTGTACTAATTCCCAGGTACGAGATAGCCGCTCCTCCGCATGTGTGTGTTGCGCGAGAGCTTGTGATTGGCGCGAGCCGCTCTTACCAAACCTAAATCTACCGGTAGCTACTTTATAGCGAAAGGTATAGACCTTATTGTAAACTTACAAGAGAAATTCTAGCATGACAATTCTTATATATAAAATACATCAAAACTATACTTCTGTCGAGAATTCACATCTAGTCTCATTACGCGTCCAGCCATCTTGCGTCATTCTAATCTTCAAGCAATCATATCATATACATAAGATAGTCTTTACGATTATATACTTGCCATGAAACCTAACGCATGCACACTCATATAAAAGGATACACAATCAACATCAGAATCAGATTTGCATGCATACATGTATGGTTATGTACAGACAACTCGCCAGACAAAGAAAGGCTCCTTTATCATAACCATGTGACCATTTCTTAAGGATCGTTAGCTATGCATCATTTATTGACACCATATACATGGGGGAATCTTTCCAGACAGGTCCTGACAATGACACATATCCATCCGCACTTGTGTATACGTGTATACAACCAAATGCATATATACGCGTATGTATACGTATAGAGCCCCCACAATGAAGCTTCCGCCATCATAACCATATGGCCGTCATCTATAATGTTTGACGAAAGTATGTTTCATATTGTATTTATGGAGGAGACTTCCAACACTTACTGCAAATGAATCATATCGTATTGGCACCTATCTATATGCAAGTGACTTTACATATGAGCGTATTTATCTATGCACATGTAAACGTAAGAACCACTCACTAGATAATGAAATCTCCATCATCATAATCACACGTTTACTTCTTGAGGCATTCTAATTGCGTATCATTCCCACAATATCCATAGAGAAACGTTTTCAGGCACGCACTTACAATCACTCTTATATATGTATGTACATTCAGAATTATATCTACGCTTATCGATACGTATAGGAACACCACCAGACAATGTAGTGTCCGCCATCATAATCACGTGGTCATTCTTGAGCCATTCTAGTTGTATCATTCCCACAATATATATAGAGAAACGTTTCAGACAAGTACTGACAATCACTCGTATATACGTATGTACATGCAGAAGTGTATCTACGCTTATGTATACGTATAGTAACCCTACCAGTCGATGAAGTCTCCACCATCATAATCACATGGTCGTCGTCCGCAGCATCCTTGTCAAGTGCGGCTGTAGAGCTGCCCTCGACATTAACAAATTTCTGCGGTTTTTTCACATAAAGAATGTCTTTTGGTTAAAAAAAAGGTTATATACAGAACACCTGAGCTGTCGGTTAAACCAATGCCAAGTAGGTAAAACAGTTGAATCACATATGACCAGAAACACGAGAGCGACGTAATGCTTAAAGCGAGTGTATTTACACAAACCCAAGATGTGTAAGCGTATATATATATATAAATATATTTATATATATATATATATATATATATATATATATATATATATATATATATATATATATATTATATATATATATATATATATATATATATATATATATATATAATAATATATATATATATATATATATATATATAT